CCTCTGCAGAAAGAATCTAGTGATAGGTCTCCAGATGTCAGCCTAGTTAGCAGGGCAGGCCCCACATCCAATGACGAGAATTTTTATAAGGGAAGGCACAGATAAAGCTCTGTGAGGATGGAGGCAGAGACTCTACAAGCCAAGGAATGCCAAGGATGGCCAGCATCCATCAGAAGCCAGCAGAGAAGCAGAAGATACAGACTGCCCCAAACCCTACAGAAGTAACCAGTCCTGCCAACCCCTTGATTTTGAACTTCTGACCTCTAGAAGTACGGAAGACTAAATTGATGTTTTTGTTAAGCCACCAAGTCTGTGGTAGTTTGTCATGGCAGCCACAGGAAACTAATACAGTAGTCCTGAGTGCCTGAGAATTCTGACTCATCATGGAGTAATGAGTCACAGCATGGGGGCACTGTGAAATGATACCTCCGGGTAGCACCCTCCCCGCCACCTTCAGAAACATTCCAGCCAACACCAAGTGGTGAGTAGGAAAGGGAAAACCAAGGTAAGGTGAGCACCTGTGGTGCTCCCAGTGCTGCTCAGAGTCGCCTCATTTAATGTGAACTTTGCAATGCCCTCAGGATTGTAAAACTTTGGCCTTGTTCTCTACTTGCGACAGCTGACGCTTTCGAGAGGTCAGGTGACTTGAAGATGCCCCATGCTGGTGGCAGTGTCAGGATTTGAATGCAAGTCTGCTGATTCAAGTCTAACCCTTGATCCTCTCTGGACTGCCCCAAGCCCTGGAAGAGTCTTGGTGGAAATCTGCCTGATGGTCTGTTCCAGATGAAAGGCGGATGGTCAGCCCAGTGCTGAGGAGTGGCCAGACATTTTCAGGGCCAATTCCGAGTGAGCTGAGAGTGAAACCTGTTGATATTTGTGGTTTCGATGACAAAGAGACAGGAGTACATTTTCTAGCCAGAGCTACTGTTGAAATAAGAACGTCCTTTGGAAACATCACTGGGATGTCAGTAGAGGATGCTTGACGGGGAATGCACCATTTTTTACTTTAGGGGGGAATTCTATAACGTTCTGCCCTGCCTGCCACACTTCCCAGTCCCATGCTGAGTGCTGGTCTTGATTAGAGAAGGAGCTGAGCCAGGAGGCTTCTGTTCTCACTCAGGCTCAGGCTTTCTTCCAGAGGGAAATGTCCAGTCAGCTCGGGCTCCACTTGGGCCAGATTTGTTTAACAAGGTCATAGATCATTACCTAGGCTGGAGGAAGCGGGGTGCTATAGTTCAGAGCATCCCGCACCCACCCTCACCCTAGATTCTGCTAAGATACAGGCCTCAAGTTCCCAGACATGGAGAGTCCCATCCCCATTTGTGTCAAGCATACAAGTCAGGACTTTGAACACTGTTGATTGTCAGGCTAGCATGGCTGCCTGGGTTCCCCAAACTTGAAATCCCAATGATTGACCAAGGTGCCTTGGCACTTGGCTTCATGGAGAATCTTCCTGAAAGGTTTTTTTTTTTTTTTTTTAAATCTGGATTTCTTTTATATCTCAACCTATATAACTATGGAGTCCTAGAACTGATCTGCCCTTGAGGCTACTAATGCCTTTAATGGTCTAACATGGAAAGAAGACATGCTACTCTAGAGATGGAGAGTTAGACCATCTCTGCTTTGGAAATTTCCCAAAGTGGTGGTCACCCTCACCGTGGGAGATCCAAGGCCTGTGGATACAGGACAGGGCAAGCCTGGTCTGCCTGTGGCTGAGGCTTCTTGGCAAGGTTTGGAATGGTGACGACCATATTGAGAGAAGCATCCCTTCAGGCAATACCAGGCTCTTCAGAATGCAGCATGGTTTGTTGTTAGGCACTGCCTGATTCTACCCAGCAGCAGAGGGCGTAACAGAGTCCCACCCGAGACTCTACTCAAAGCCTCTTTAGAAGAAAGAGTGTGTGGTGCATGACTAGTTTGCCCTTTTTCTGTTTGGTTTTGTTTGAGGCAGAGTCTCACGTAGCACAGGCTAGCCTTGAACTCCTGAGCTTCCCGCCTCTACCTTCTGAGTGCTGGGATTGCAAGCAGGTACCACCACATCCAGCTGTGGCAGCCTCTTGCACTAGTGAAGAAAGCTGGGCTCTCGCAGAAGTGAGAGCCTGTGCTTTTGCCGGCCCAGCCTGCAGAAGGGCAGCCTGGCCTTCGTTACTGAGAACCCGAGAGAGGCTGGGTGACACAGGTGCATTTTGTGGGGTACATCTCTGCTGATTTGAGGAGGGCAGCCTACCTGGAGAGAGGATGGCCAAGGGTGTACGCTGCGCTGTGTGTCCTGGATGTGCCTAGTCTGGGAGCCTGTGCGGCCACGCAGGGACGTGCCCGCACCTGGCCCCGCCTCCCAGGTGGTAAAGCTGGGGGCTGCTCTCCCTCTGAAGAGAAGGCTGCAGAGGAGCCAAACCACAGCCCGGATTGTGGGGGTTTGATCTTCCCTCTGCTGCCAGAGATGAGAGAGGTCTAAGTGGCAGAGATTTACAGGGCCCGAGGGAGAAGTACCCTTCCAGCAAGAAGTACACATGAAAGCTCCTGAGAAACAGCCAAGGCTGCTGAGTGCACCAATTATGCAACAATTAAAAGACTCGACTATCATTTCTTTCCCCTTTCATTCCCCAGCCGCTCCTCCTCCTCCACATCTGCCTTCCCCTGCAGGCTCCCTGAGAAAACGCTCTGGGGAACAGAAGAGAAAGAACACACTCCCCCCCCCCCCCCCCCCCCGCCTTTAATTGGAGATCAGAAGTTGGGAGTAGGGCTTGCTCTTTGAGGGTGGGAGGACACAGGGTGTCGCAGACACGAAGCCTCGGATGAAGGGCTGAGGAAGGAAACGGGAGAGGAGGGCATGGTCCTCTCTATCTACCAGTCTCCGAAACAACTTTATATAACCCGGTGACATTATGTTACAGATTAGAAGGACTCTCTAGTAGGCAAATGGCTGAGCTCACACAGCTGGGGAAACAGGCAGTATGGGCTCCGGGCTGCTTCCTGCCAAGGGATTAACCGCTGGGCTTTTTGGTCTCCACACTGTAAAGAATGGAGGACTTTTCCTCATCTCTTGGTCTTGGCTTTCCCATCTGCAAGGTGGGCATAGCCTGGGGGCCTTGTGTGTTGAGGCCAAGAAAGATGAAAGCGTCAGGGGGTGCTGAGCGGCAGGCCTACTCTATAACTCAGCCAGCCGCCGCTGAGCCAAATGCCCCGCACAGCAAGACGGTGGCTAATTGAGAAAGAGTTAGGCAGTGTGCCCCGAAAGTGAAGAAACAGCTGCTTGTTGGCTTTTTTGAGGTGCCAACCCACACCCAGGATCTGTGCCCCCATCCTCACCTGATTTCCCAGCAGAGCTAAACAGCCCCCACATTCCAGGGTGGATGGCAGTGAACTTCCTCCCGCCCTGCTGTTGAATTGCTACTCCCAGCACCACCCTGGAGCTGAGCTGCTCTAGGGAGCCTCCAGAAACCTAGCACACAGTAGGTTCACCCAATTCACATTTGACCAGATGATAGGGTAACAAGGCACTCTCCTAAGGACTTCTGTTTTGTTTGTGCACAGTTGAGAAGGTTTCCCTGGGAGGGACTCCGCAGCCTTCCTGGAAACGAACTTTCTCTTAGGAAGATTTAGAGGACGAGCCTGGCCTGTTCTAACTGTCCAGCCGTCAGTGATAGCTATGGAGGAGGAGCACGTAGTCTAAGTTCCTACAGTAATAGGAACAGATGTGAATGTTCCTGAGTCCAGGCCGGGGCATGCTACCCCGCACTATACTTCTTGGTGTACAGTTGGCGAAACGGTCTGAATGCCAGGAGAGCCGAGCCCAGCTCTGCCATTTCTCCTGCTACCCACTGAACACAAGAAAGCAGCAGCCATGTTCCTAGGAACCATCCCACAGAAAATAAGATGTGACCTAGGTATGAGTCTCTCGCCTGTTTCCCCAGACCACCACAGATTCTGTAGCCAAGGCCTCTTGGGGTAGACTTTACACAGTGGGTTTTTTCCCCCAGCATGTTGCTTCCCACTCACAGCACATCTTCCAGAATTTTATCCTCTGTTGCTTGGATTCCTGAGACTCCCTCACCTCAAGAGCAGTCTAGGGGAAGGGTCTTGAAAATGGGGGCTTGCTTCTAACTGGAGAAGGAGCTTCCAGAGGACCTGTGATCACCTCCTGATGTCCTAAGCCTTTCCCCACCCTCAGCGGCTCACACCTGTGGTGTGACCTGGGGCCCTTCTCTCCCAGAGCCCCCAACCCCATGTCCTGCACCAGGTGGCTGTGGCACCCAGTTCCCTCAGGGGAGCTGAAGACCCCAGCTGGCATGGCCAGGCCCTCTTGCAGAGCCCGGATGATTGTCTGCACAGTGGGGCCCACTCGGCCCACTCTGCAGGGGCTGGCAGGCCTCCAGAGGAAGTGATGGGAGGGCTTGGGTGCATTCTGACCTTCACTGAATTCCTGGATGATGATGTGTGAATAATATGGCTTTTTGAGAGTCAACAGCTTGGGTGCTTTTTATAGGCGGGCTGAGGTGCTGAACGGGCCATCTCCCCATTAATCACTTAGCTAGTTAGATCAGCTGGCAAACAGTCCCAACATTATTCTGCGGTATGCCTCTCCCTTCTGTCAGCAGCCACCCTTAAGGAGACATCAAAACTGCCATCAAGTCAGCCCCAGCCCTACCCCCAAGCCTTCCAGTCTCCAAGATTCATGTCCTAATTCCTCTGACTTATGCTAGCTGCTTTCATTTCTGTGCATTATTTGATGTCTCTGCTGCCAGGGGCCCCGCACTCCCACTTCCTCAGCCACTCAGAACCATGGCAGAGCACCTCGGACCTACCTGAAGGGAGAAGGAATTTATACTGAGCGACATCTCGGAGGTCAGTCCCAGGAGGGGCACATGGGTGACAAGCTTGGGACCACTTCACACCCTGCTGGCCCTTCCTAAGCCCACCCCCCCCACCCCCACCCCCACACTCTAGTCACAGGTGTCATCGTCAAGCAGGCTAGGACTCCAGCAGGATCTCCCACTCACAGTGTCTCCAGATTGTGCAGCCCCTCGAAGCTGTGGGTCCCCACATGCTGAATGCGGTTGTTATGGAGATGCCTGTGTGGGAAGGAGAGACACGTCAGAATGTGTGGCACAACCTCAGGGCCGGCCAGGGCAGATGAGTGTACACAGCAGCAGGAGTAGCCAAGTGGAAGCAGGCGGACAAACAGAATGACCTCAGTGGTCTAACCCCTTTCCTCCAGGGACAAGCAAATCGGCCAAGACCCATTCCTGAAGCCACAATGGCCAAGGCAGGGTCGACCACGGGTTAGATACCTTCTTGCCTTCCTAGTGAAGGAACCGGGAAGAGGAAAGGCCAGGCCAAGGCTACAGCAAGCTCTGACTAAGCACCGGGCGAGAGGCCTGATGTCATAGGGGCTCACATCGGAGGCTTCTTTTCTGGCCCTGCTCCGTAGGACCCAGCCAGCCTGACTCAGTGGCCAGACGTTCACAGAGGAGCCAGCAGCAAACCACTGCAGACAACATATAATTAAAGGCTAAGCTTTGTTACAACTGGAGGGAGCTGTGGTCATGCTGAGAGAACTGGGAGGCTGGTGAGGCTGAGGCAGCAAGGAAGCCCTGGCCGAGGTGGCCATCCTCAGCGGGGCCTTGACAGGCGATCTGCGTGAGCAGAGAGAAGGGATTCCAGGCAGAGACGGGAGGCGGGAGGATGCATGGGCTATCTGTCTGTGCAGGCCTTGGCAAGCACAGTTGTGAGTAGAAAAGGGGGGAGTTTGGGAGAGATTCCCAAGGTAAATAGTTCACTGAGAGTAAGACAGAATCGCCTTCTGCCCACATGTAATTGATCAAAAATAATCAAACCACACTCCATGACACCTGAAGCCTCACAAGGAGCAAAACGTCAAGAAAGGCATCCAGCCTTGGGTAGATACCCTGAAGACCTGTGGCCAAACAGTTTGGAAGTCTCCATTAGTCCTTTCTCCAGAGAACAAGCTGATAAAAAAAAACAAAAAACCTGACATTGCTCTGTAGAAAGACACCCCAGCTTGTGAGAATTAACTATGCAAATATTCTTGCTTTTCTTCCCAACTCTGTCTTCCAAAGGGAACAGGTGACAGAGAAAGAAAAAGCAAAGCTTGAGGCTACTCTCTGAGCAGGAAGTCGGAGGTGCTAGCCCGGGGCACTCGGGTAGAGGGAACGAGAGCACCTCACTTAATACCCAGGGCAGAGGGAGCAGCCTGGGTGGTCTATCCAAGACCAGCCACCACCTCAGAGCATGGTGCCTCTCAGGCCCACCCCACCAGGGTACAGAAAACGGGACAGAACCTACTTCTATGGACCTTCACCCACACACTACAGCTTGGAGGGGACAACCAAGAGGGCCTAGGGATGATGTGTTGGACCAGAGCTTCGTGAGGGTTCCAGAGGAAAGAAATCACAGGGTGACAAAGGAAGAGGATTGTAAGGGACAGCAAAGTTCCAAGCCCTGAGGAAAATACAATTAAGGCTGAGTGTGGTGGTGAAAACCTGGAATCCCAGCACTTTGGAAGTAGAGGCAGGAGGATCAGGAGTTCAAAGCTAGTCTCGGCTACATAGTGAGTTGGAGGCTAGCCTGGACTACATGAGACCCTGTCTCAAAAAATAAAAAAAAATTACAATTAATGAATGACGAATAGAAGGAGACTGATCATAATTGTAGCCTTCTGCTACAAAACAACCTAAATGACATTTCAAAGACAAAAAAATTTAAATGAAAGGAAAAATTACATTGTAAGTTAAGGTAATAAAGCTAAGGCCCCAAACTGCATTATTTATGATATATATCATATATTATATGATATATATGATATATATCATATAATAATATGCATATTCTGTAATATCTATGGTGTATATATTATATATACATACATACCATAGATCATATACTATATTGTATAATATATATGAGCTCATCAATTTGAAACAAGGAACAGAGTATGCAGTGGTGAAAGCTGACTTGTATCAGACAGAAAACTGGACACAGGGCTGGTGAGCTAACTCAATAGTAAAGAGCACTTGCTGTTCTGACAAAGGACTCGGATTCAGTTCCCATCACCCACACTGGGCAGCTCAAAACCCCTGCAACTCCACTCAGGGAATCTGACACCCTCTTCTGGCTTCTGTGAGCACTGCATGCCCATGGGGCACATCCATACATTTGGGCACACACACTTATAAATCAAATAAAGAAAAAGAAAAGCAAAGAAAGCTGGACACACTCAGGGTGGACATGGCAGAGGGAAACCAAGATTAAAATAGTTAAAAACTGATTAGCGTCAGGGGAACATCAGCAACTGAGGTCTCTCAAGGAAAGGATCCCGAACATGAGACTGAAGATGTAATAATACAAAAAAATTCTCTAGAAGAAAGAACAGAGCCTGCCCCTCAAAGGCATCCATTGTTCTGGGAAAATTAGATGCAGAACTTTCTACACTGTGGCATATTTGAGTTACGCTGTTAAAGTTCAAGAATTTACAAACATCTTTAGGCAGAAAAGGGAAATCACTTATGAGGGGTAGAAAGCAGGCTGGCTGGCAAAGATGTTGCTGAGTTGTGAGGGCACTCAACCAAAGCCATCCAGCTAGGTGGGGAGGGCCGCCAGTCTTTGGAGTCTCTGTTCTCCCACCCCCCTCTATTCCACCAGGTCCCAGGATGGAAGACAGACCCTCCCCCCAATTCAGGAATCTTCTGGAAAACAACCCTTGCCTTCTGAGAGTAAGTTCTCTTCTCTTACCAAGGCTTTTTAATTTTTCCTATTTTCTTTACCCTTCCATCCCAAATGTCACCAGATGTCATTCTATCGGCTTCCCAGACCCTCTCTTCCCCTTTCAGTTCTGGTCTAGACCATCTCAGCTTCCTAGACCTCTAGCTCCAGGCCTTCCCTCTCTCCTTTGAACTGTCCATTCAGCTCTAGAGTCCTGGCACCTCTAGTAGCCCAGCCAGGGACCGAGGCCGGGGCTTACCACATTATACACAGGCCATTACTGAAGACACTCTGCTTGGTGTTCTTGCTAGTGCCACCAATGTGGAAAGGGTTTGAACACGTCAGAGCAACACACCAGAGTGCAGGCTTTGTTGGAGAGAGCCTCGTCTCTCCCAGCACACTAGCCTGCCTATATCCTGACGGGCCCTCATCCACCCCTTGTGGTTTTCTGTTTTGTTGTTTTGAGACTGAGTCTCATTATGTAGCCCATGCTGGTCTCTGACTTGCCATCCTCCTGCCGGAGCCTTCCAGACTGTGGAATTACAAGCACACCGCATAGCCTACCCCTCAGTTTTAACGAACTTTTTTCTTGCTTCCTCTTGTGGCTGTTCTTCCTTATCTGCCTCCCGGGCTTCCCCACAGCTCATCTCAAAGTCCCAAGACAACGTTCTCCAGCCTTCTTTACCCTTCAACGCTACCTCCAGCTCAAAATTTTTTCCTCCCCCCAGTAAGAAAAGACAGAGAAGTGATGCTTCTAGCCTCACCCTGTGCCAAGGGACCTGATCTGTTTCCGCTTTGCTCCTCTGTGCAAGGTTCTCTCCTCTAATCCTTTGTCCCTTCGGTGGAACCCCCATACCTTGTATTGGGCTTGAATTTCATGCCAGCTTCCTAACTTCCAACCAAGCCTTGAAGTCATCTCTGACTCCTTCTCAACGTGGTCTTCCACCCGATGAAAACCTCTGAGAGAGACCAATTCTTCCTTCAACGTGCCCCCTACAGGAGCACCCTCCCACTCATCCTTCCTGCTGCCTCCCCAAACTGAACTCTGCTACACGAGAGCCCCAGAACTAATTTCCCGTCTCTGGTCTCCATGTGCTCCCATCCATCCTTTCCTTTAACCATCCTAAAACATCCCCCTTTTAACGTTCGCTTGAACCTGCAAGCTTCCCTCCACAACTGGCGGGTAGAAGTCAGAGCCTTTGCTCTTCCACTGCCTGTCCCCCAAATTTACCTCTTCAGCCTCCCCACCCCACCCCACCCCCCGCCACATTCTGTACAAGGACTCTCTGCTACAGCTGGACGGCCCCGTTCACCATCAGCGACAGAGCCTGAGCCCTCCTCCATGTCTTTAATGCTCTAGTGCTCTTGGATTGTCCAATCCCAATCTCTCTCCATGCCCAGCCCTGCCTTCCCTGTGAAGCTTTCTTCTTACTCACCCATAGTTGGGTGGCCCTCTGTCTTGACCACCTCAGCTATGGCAGCAAAAGTCATGTCACAGCCTTGGTTGTCTTTTCTCATAGAGGAAACTAGACTGTAAGCCTCTCCAGGCCAGTAACTCTGTCTCATCCTTCTGTGACACACACACACGCGCGCGCGCGCGCGCGCACACACACACACACACACACACACACACACACACACACACACACTCACACGAGCTCTGTCAATGCAAACTGTTGTCCATGTATGTAGCAGGGACCCATCATAAAGTCCTCATTTTTCCAGTCATCTTGTCTGTCATAGAGACTTGACCCCATTCCCATGTGAGGTCACAGGCACATCACCAAAGCTAAAACCAGCCACCTTGACTCCCAGGAGGGTGGAGGGTATGACTATTCCAGCAGAAGGAAGTACTCCATTGGGGACATTCATGTTCACTTTCTAAGTTCCAAAGCAGAACAATAGACAAATAAATCATTACCTACATCTTCATGTCTCACACGGAACTAAGCATCCTCCATTCACGCTGGCCTAGAAAACCACACCAGATTTCCAAGAACAAAGGAGGTAATGCTGCCACTTAGCAGAGTCACTAACATACATGTTCCTACAGCAATTAGTATGTAACCCAGAGCAATTACACATGACCTCCAAGCCCTTAGTAATTAGACCATGAACTTACCAATCATTCATAGCAATTAGCTAGAAGCTAATTTGCACTGTAAAGTTCCCACTAGGAAGGCAGAGTTAACCCCAGCCCCTCCCCCTGCCAGGGATGCTATCTCCCAGGTAATTACCCTGCTGGGGCTTTGACATCTAATTACATGTGATGGCCTTTCCTGCTTCTTTAGGCCTGCAAAACGAGATGGATTTATTCTATCCCTATGCCAAAGCGTATGACTGTACCTTTTGATTGTCAAATGTGGTGGGAATTACTTATGAAAGTCTTGACTTACATTTCCAATTAGCATGGAATGGTTATTATTCTTGTATAGTGAGAAAATAAAAGAACAAAATATTTCTGTTTTCTGATTATAATAATGCTTAGTCCCTTTAGTGACCCTCAGAGTACTTCTATAAGCTCAATGTCATCTGGCTTAGAGACCATCCTATAGAGTCAACATGCAATGGTCATATTCATCTTGTCCGCAGAGAAGAGACTGAAGCGAGAAGATTCGACCACATGCAAAGAAGAGCAAAGCTCCTGACCCAACTGGAGGAAATGTGCGGCTTCCCGTCCCCGCAGGTGGTGGGGACCGAAACAGTACTCACAGCACCACAAGACTGGTGAGGTTCTGGAAGGCATAGTCAGGGATGCGGTGGATGTGGTTGAGAGCCAGGGTCATGGCCTGTAGGGCAGGAAGGTTGTTGAGGGCTCTGACGGGGATCTCAGTGAGTGCGTTGTCATCCAACCAGAGGTGGCGGAGAGAGGACAGCCCCTCAAAGCTCCTCTCAGGGACCAGGGAGATGAGGTTGGCATCTAGGCGCCTGATGCAAGGAAAAGAGGATGGAGAAGGATCAGTCCAATGCAGGTTGTAGATCAGCCTGTGAGACGAGCTGGCCTTGGAAAGCCAACTGGCACGCTGAAGTACCACTTACCATGTATCCCAGCTTTTCAAATTCCCGTATTCCAAACCACCAACTCTTGATTCTTTATGGCATTTCTATTTATGACCCCAACTGCTCCTTTCAGATCCAACATAGAAACCATCGCCCGTCTGTGATGACCAGTATTCCCCCTGCATCCTTAGCTCCTCTGCCCTGAGTATAACATTGTTCCCACCCTGTCCACCCCAAGGATCATATAATGGACTTGCCCCCTGCACTGGCAGAGGGAAAAATCTCCACCTTCTAGACATAACCAAAGAAAAATGCCTCCCCAAAGATGTAAGCCATTCTCCGTGGACCCATCCCTAGCACTGCCTGTTCCTTAACCCTTCAAAGACCTTCTAATTTCATATGGCTCCTGCCAAAGCCCTGGGACTCCCCATATGGAAGGTCCAAGCATGCCACAGAACCCTTTGTGGTGATTTGTATAAGAATGGCCCCCATAGGCTCATATATCTGAATGCTTAGTCATCAGGGAGCAGCACTATTTGAAAGGATTAGAAGGATTAAGTGGTCTGACTTTGAGGAAGTGTGTCACTGGAGGTGGGCTTTGAGGTTTCAAAAGCCCATACCAAGCCCAGAGTCTCTCTCTCTCTCTCTCTCTCTCTCTCTCTCTCTCTCTCTCTCTCTCTCTCTCTGCCTACAGACCAGAATGTAGCTCTCAGCTACTGCTCCAGCACCTGCCTGCATGCTGCCACACTCCCTGCCATGCTCCCTGCCGTGATGGCAATGCCCTAAACCTCTGAAACTGTAAGCCAGTCCCCAGTTAAATGCTTTCCCCTCTATCAGTTGCATTGGTCACAGAGTTTCTTCATGGCAATAGAACAGTGACTAAGTCACCCTTCATTTACTGCTTCTCAGAACAGATAAACCAAGGATGGGTGACTATGTGCACAGAGATTCCAGGGGCACAAAACATTTGATATGATCCCTAGAAATCTCAGTAGCTCAGCAAAATGGACAGAATTCCCAGCTTAGCTTTTCCCAGGTGTGCCCAAGCTGCGAGATGCTACTGTTTCTGCCTCCTAGTCTGGGCCTTACACCGAAACTCTGTTATCCTGTACAGCTGTTCCCATGAAGCAAAGACAAGCTGGTCTGTGACAAGCTCTTGGACTTATGCTTAGACTTTGTTGTCTTGAAGGGGTCTTAGCTCCGAGCCACTCCCACACAGACCTCTGGTACCCACATTATGGAAACCCTAGGTCTTGTTCACAAAGCTTGAAGTCCACAGTTCTAAACTCAGAGGAGAATTGTTTGACTGGAAGACTGGGAAGAAGAGGTTTGCTTTTATGCCAACAGCACAAGCCCGCTTGAGAAAGGTCAGCGGTGCTTCTGTCCCTTGCCTGAGTTACTTTAGCAGCACTGTCCCTGACAGTCTCATGCATCCCTGGGAGAAAGTTCCCAGCTTGGCATCAAGGGGACTATGATGGACAGGCTGACACACAGCCTTTGGTTATGAGCACAAAATGACTAGGGCACACTCTGAAGGCTGCAATTAGGAAAGACCCCACCACCACCACCACATCAAGCATAGCCTGGCGGGAGGTATTTGGACATCTGTGCTTTTTCCTGCACTATTTACAATAGCCAAGATAAGGAACTAGAGGCCCATCGGCAGGAGAATGGGGAAAAAGCATGGTAAATACAGACAATGGAAATGTATTTACCCACAAAGGAAGATAAAGTTATGCTGTGGCAGTGAAATATATGTGAGGATTATGTTATGGGACTCAGAAAGACAAATACCATATAAAAGTTTTCTGTTGTATATGGAATCTTGATTAAATATGTAATATGTATAGACTGGGAATATAGCTCAATGGCAGGATGCTTTCATATGCTCAAGGCTGCAAAAAATAAGTAAGCAATGTACATATATCTATATACATATATATATATATAAATATGTACACAATGTGATATATAAGTAGAAGGAATATTATGTGTGGTTGGATGAAGAGGCATAAATCAGGGGAGGACAGAAACAAGAGAGGGTGATGGGGGAGGGGAGAAGAACAATCATTGCCTATTTTTTCTCATGCAGGAACATAGTTATAACTATGCACCTATACGTATTATATGCTTATATGGCATTAAAGCAGGGCAGGAGAGATGGCTCATCAGTTAAGAGCACTTGTTCTTACAGAGGGCCTGGGTTCAGTTCCCGGCACCCACACGGTAGTTCACAACCATCTGTAACGCCAGTTCCAGGGGATCTGATGCCCCCTTCTGGCCTCCATAGGCACTGCATGCATGCGGTGCAATCAATGTGTCTATACAAGGAAACACTCATTCACATAAAAATAAAACAAGCCCTTTTTTGGAAGAAGAAGGTGAGCCTACTGAGAGGAGTGGGCAGGAGGTTCAGAGGAGAGTAGTGCAGGATGGGTAAATATGACAGAATACAATGATATGCATGTATGAAAACGTCACAATAAACTCATTGTTTTATCCACTAATTAAAACTCAATTAATTTTTAAAATTTCTTGATGAGGCCAAAAATCTCCACAGTGAATGCCCTCTATTCATAAGGCCTGCCACAGGTGGTCACCATTCCTGTAATGGGTCTGACTATAGGGAACCTTATAAAAACATAGGCTCGCCCCTTGCTGGAAGAGCTCAGCTGCACTGGGATGGGGCTGGCACTCGTCTCTGAAGATGTCATATATAGACACAAACAGATGTAGGAACCACTACATTAGGAGAAGCCACTTGGCGCCTTGAGGAAGAGGCCACTCCAGTATAAAGCCATCATTAGGAAAGTCAGGTTAATAGTCACAGTGCAGCATTGTGACACCCAGTCCAGGGCATCGGGGAAGGCCTCTAGGAGAAAGTGAAACTGGCGTGGAGACCTGGCAGCCAAGTAGCATCAGCCTGGTGAGGAAGGACAAGCATGCCAAGCAGAGGGAACAGCATGTGGGAATTATGGAATAAAGTGCTGCAGGAGACCTGAAGTGATGTAGGGCTTCCAGAAGAAATGTAGAAAAGAAGAGGAGAGGTGCCTGGTGGGGTCCCAGGGGCCTCAAAACAATGCCATGTTATAGGAAAGGGGAGCCACTGAAGGGTGTTCTTTTGTTTCTGTTTTCAGGGTTTTTTCTTATACATTACATCCCGACCACAGCCTCCCTTCCCTCCACTCCTTCCAGCTCCCCTCCCCTCCCCTCTCCTTCAGATCCACTCTCCTCTTTCTTAAGCCAAGGAAGAACATGGCTTTTTTTGCTTTAGAATCATGATGAGACTTTTTTTTTAAGATTTATTTATTATATATACAGAAGAGGGCGCCAGATCTCATTACAGATGGCTGTGAGCCACCATGTGGGTGCTGGGAATTGAACTCAGGACCTCTGGAAGAGCAGTCGGTGCTCTTAACCTCTGAGCCATCTCTCCAGCCCGAGACTGACTATTTTATACAGTTAATATATACTAATTTTTTTTCAAGACAGGGTTTCTCTGCTTAGTCCTTGCTGTCCTGGAATTCACTTTGTAGACCAGGCTGGCCTTGAACTCAGAGATCTGCTTGCCTCTGTCCCCAACCCCACCCCCATCCCCCACCCCGCCCCAGTGCTGGGATTAAAGACTGGGATTAAAGGCGTGCGCCACCACCGCCCGGCAATATACTAATTTTTAAAAGAAAGAAAAAGCTGAGTGTGTTGGCACCTGTAATCCAAGCTCTTGAGAAGTAGAGGCAGGGAGATCAGGAGTTCAAGGTCACCCTTGACTTCATATCGAGTTGGAGACCAGCCTGGACTGCATGAGATCTTACCTCCAAAACATTTTTCCCTCCAAGAGCCCAAATAACAAATCCAAACAAAGTAGGGAAGGTACTCTGGAGTGAGGGTCACTTAGGTATTGGGGAAGGGTAATATTAGGAGCAGACCACTAAGAGACGGGGCTGGACCTGTCTACTCTGACAGGTTTCTACAATGCCTGCCTGATGGGTAAAGCCATGATTCCTGATTTTCCCATGCGGGCGATGCCACCTTTCCTGAAGTGAAGGAAACTCCGCAGTGATGGCCGTGACACCCCACCAGCAGTCACTGTTTCGATTTATGAGCACTTGTCACATGCCAGATACAGAGCCAGGAACAAGTAGGTGACCTGTGTCCTCTCAACATGACCACAAGATGGCTCTGACTAGTCTGACTTTACAGGGGTTAGGCTGCTAAGTCACCCAGCCAGTGAGCCAAAGACATGAGATTTGAACCCTAGTTGTTGACGCTTAAATCCATGTGCCTTCCCACTGTGTGATGCTGGCACTCCGGGCCCATCAAGGGAGGTGAGAGCCTGCTCACCTCCTTAAGGAGACAGGAAGTGGGACAGGATGAGGGAGTGCTAATCCTGTAAACCTAGAATGGATGGAAGTCACTTATTTAAAAAAAAAAAAAAAAACTTGTTTTGTGTTTATTTATTCATTTTGTATGTTTGTGGGCACACATGTGGAGGTCAGAGGATGACTTTCAGGAGTCAGTTCACTCTTCCCACCATGTGGGTCTCAGGGACCCACCTCAGGAGACTGAACTCAGGCTTGGCAGCAAGTGTCCTGACCTCCTGAGCCGTTTTGCCAACCCCAGGAAGTCTCTTCTTTGTGACTGGGTATGTGTGAACACCCAAGTATGCCTACAACACACATGCACTGCATGCTTCCGTGTGTAGCCACGGTCCTGATCAGTTCATCTCCTGCATTTTGTGCAACCCATGGGCGGGAGAGCTTGGGTAGGGCCACTCCACCAGGCGAGTCATTTAGCACCCAAAGACTCCCTGGGTCTAGTATGCTTCAACTTCATTTGGGCAGGGCTCCTTCTCGTCACCTCCCAAGGAAGGACAGATTTCAAGAGCCATCAGGCTAACTTCTCCTCAGGCAGAAAGCCAGGATGCCTCC